TTAGTAGGAGTGAGAAACTTGTGTCTCTCCAGTTTATAGGATGCACTCCTTTCAGATTATTTGCCAGGTTGATAGGGGAGGGTGGATGTTTTTGTCCAAATCATAAAAGAGCAGCAGTTCTTGACCTCAAGGAGAGAGAAAAAGAAATGAGGAGGTGTGAAAGGCCAGAAAGACCAAACTGTATAGCTAAATGGTGCCTCTGTGTGGTTATTCTCTGATGTTACAATTCCTAACTTTCTCTCCAGGTCAATGAAAGGCATAAAGCAGGGCCTCTTACATGATAGAATGTAAATATACAACACCTCTTAAAAACTCTTCTCTTCCTCTCAATTAAAGTGACATGAATCAGTCCTTCATGCTTACTGGCATAAAATTTGCTGCCCCCTTTGCTGAATCTCTATCCTACCACAGAAAAGCTGCCTCAAATGGAAATGTCCTTATATCCTACATGAAATACACAGTAGAAAAAGGGATTAACAGGCTTCCCATTCAGCAGGCATCACCAGCTGGTAAGAAAATACCCGCCTAGCAATCTTCTTAACAAAGAATGACGCTGAGGATGAAACAGGTTTTGAGGGATCCTTAGACCTTATCAAATCTTGATCCATACTTTGAACAAGCTCCTAGCAGTAAATCCCCATGCTGGGAAAACTGGAAGAATAGGAAGTGCTCGAAACAGTTAACAATCGTGTGTGGATTGTAAGTGGTAAACAGAAAATCATTTCTCTTTTCTGCTTTACTACTCAGTTCCTCTCCTCCACCACTGATCAGCTGATCCAGGTCTACAAATTGGTATTGGTTAGAAAAGCTAATGGATAAAGGAGAGCAGAATTAGATAGAAGCTGATTCATCTATTAACCAAAGAAGAATGGCCATGGAGGACAGCTGTGTCCAGCAATCAGATAAGATATCCCTGTATTAGTCTAAAGGAGTCAATAGATACCAGGCTGATCTCATCCCTTTTAAGCTGAGAACATGGTTAGTCAAATTTATGAAACTGAATTCAAATTAAAGCTGCTGTGACTTAAGTGGCAAAACACTCCTTTAAATCAGAGGATGACCCAAGGCTGTTTGGTGATTGGTTGGGTAACAGATGAAGGTAATATCCAAAGGGCACTGAATGTCACTGAATGTTATGCTACTATTAAATTCAATGGGAAAAAGATAGTATTATCTATCCATATTGACAAAATTGTCATCAGTCAACTGAAAAAGACAGTTTTATTTGGAACACCTTACATTTTGCAATGATACCTTTAACATCATCAAACAACATCTGCCTATCCCAGGTCCTTGGGAAGAACTCTATAGGTGGATAAAAATTATATTTCTAATCTAATGAAAAGGACTAGCAGTGACATAGCAGTGCCCCAATATTTGAGGGGCTGCCACAAAGAAGAGTGGTCAATTATTCTCCCCAAATCACCTGAAAGCAGGACAAGAAGGAATAAATGGAAACTAATCAAGGAGTGAACCAACCTAGAACTAAGGAGAATTTTTCTGACAGTGAGAACAATTTTGCCTTCAGAAGTTGTGGGTGCTTCATCTCTGCAGGTTTTTTAGAAGAGACTGGATTGCCATTTGTCCAAAATGATATAAAGTCTTCTGCTTGAACAGGAGGTTGAACTAGAAGACCCTCCAAGATCCTATCCAACTCTGTTATTCTGTAAAATCCAATCTATACATCTGGTTGACAATGCTACCACCAGAATGTATTAAACTTGTATGCCATCTGAATCTCAAATTAGCAGATAGGCATATCTGCTAATAGGCCTATCAAATTAGTTAAAATTAAAAAAAAATCACAATATTTATTTCTGATCCTTTCCTCTCAGATAATTCCACAATGGTTTATACCAGTAGGCCAAAAATATCTTAAATAAAATGATCACAATAGAAAAAAAAACAATACAATTAAAACTTTTTTTTTTAAAAAAAAGCAATAGAAAAGCTTTAAGTAGTCTGGTGTCAGATGCTGAAAATCAGAAGCCAGGATAGAGTTCAAAAATATTAGGCGTTTATTCCACACAATCTATACACACAAATCTGTTCTACTAGGGGAGTCAAGGCAAATTGGTTCCAGATAAGAGTCAATGAACTTCAAGGGGGATTCTTATGGGGATGTAGAGACTCCAAACTGTTGATGCATTTGACCTCACCCTCAGGCTCAGCTGGGTCATCTACATTTGGTCATGAAGAAGTTTATGCCATAAATATATTAGTAAAGCTGTGTGGATTAGCCAGTGTTCTTTTTAAGAACATTTCAAAAATGGGCTATTGTTCCTAAGAAGGCTCTATTCTGATTATCACACTAGGGAAAAAACCTTCAGGTGGCATCAACAAGTAAAGCCATTCCAGCTTAATTTAAATAATGGTGCTTAGAGAAGTGAGAAAGGAATCTTTTATGTACCTGGTTAAAAGGGTTAAAGTGGTTAAAAGGGATTAACAGGAAATGAGTCACTGAGATAAACCTGTTTTGCCCCCGGGTAAAATCATAGCTGGCATATCAGGCTGCTAGTTGAACATACTTTTCTCCTGGTAACGAACTAGGAGTATTTCAAGTTGTTGATCAATGCTTTTCATCTAATACAGACTCATTACATTCAACTAATTTTTAATAGATCACTTAACCAGCTGCACATTTTTAATAGATCACTTAACCAGTTTATACCCTCCAACTTCCAAAGTATCTACCTTTCATCACTTAACTTGAAAATCCTTATGGCAGTAGAATATCATTAAAAAGTAAAAAAAAGAATAGGGAGAAAATGCACTTATTATGCTATGTAGTATTTTATTTCTCACTATAACATGTTCTCTTATTCAATCTGGTGCCAGGCAGCATTCTTGGAGATTACGGGAACTGAAATCCAGCCATCATCTGTGTTGGGAGGAAAATCCTCCTAGTTCTGTTCCAAGTTGGGAGAAAGATGCTGGAAATAACATGGAGGCTGATTGGGAAGTTTATTGATGAGCAGAACCAACACACACACACACAGCATGGATTTTGGGGCAGCTGACCAATTGGTTTGGTTTTACATGGGCTTTTATACAGGACTTTTTTACAGTATTTTGTAATCTGGAGTCTTGCTTTGTGTGTTTTTATTATTTGATTGGTTTTACTTGTTTCATGATGGGTCTTAATTATCAGCTTTCTGAACCTAATCCTGTCAGGCATGTGTAACTGATTTTATCCTGTTATCTATTGCCTCTATCCTGCCTTTCTTAATGGACAGGTATTGTTTCATGTCCTGTCCTTAATCCCATCACCTCAGAGGTGAAGTTCTTCAGTCTTGTGAATCAGCTGGCCCAATCTTTCTTAATGGGCACAAAATATCTGCTGGGAGACTGAGGCTTTTTTGTCTTTAAGAGCATGGTTTTCCATTTCTCCCTTTGGGAAAATATAATATTCTGCCTCTTTTAATAGTCCCCAAAATATTTCATTCTTCTGGGGGGGGACTTCCCACATCTGCAAGCAGGAGATACCCGGGTACTCATCCAAATTTCCATAAATTATCATTCAATAAATGCTAGATAACTGCAGGGCAAGTCTATTATCAGTTACAAACTGCATGCACTTTATCCAGGTCTTAACAAGAACTTTAGCCAGCAATAAATACTAAGGTACACCTGCTTTCAGACTGTTTCAAATAATTCAACTGATCCGGTATCCAAAAATCTGAAAAATGTACATTACTCTCGTGGACGGGTGATGCTGGTTTGCCAGAGGCTGACCAAGATTATTTCCCGGCTCCCCCTTTGCCTTAATAGGGAGATCTTTTCTCTTAACTTCCTAAGTGAGGATAAGATCCACTGGGTTCCCTGGGCAACAAACACACCAACCAGGGAACACTGCCTTCATTGTCCAAGACATCCCGCCTGGACTATTGCAACACTCTCTACATGGGGCTCCCCTTGAGGAACACCCGGAGGCTCCAACTGGCGCAGAGTGCGGCCGCACGGGTGGTAATGGGAGCGACATGGCGTTCCCATGTAACACCTCTCCTGCGCGAGCTGCACTGGCTCCCGGTGGTCTTCCAGGTGCGCTTCAAGGTTTTGGTTACCACCTTTAGAGCGCTCCATGGCTTAGGACCTGGTTACCTATGGGACCGCCTACTACCACCAATAGCCTCCCACCGGCCGGTACGGTCTCATAGAGAGGGGCTCCTCCGGGTGCTGTTGGCCAAACAATGTCGACTGGCAGTCCCTAGGGGGAGAGCCTTCTCTGTGGGGGCATCTACTATCTGGAATGAGCTCCCCCCGGAGATACGGAGGATCCCGGATCTGCGCACCTTCCGCCGCGCTCTCAAGACCTTTTGATTCCACCAGGCGGGCCTGGCCTAATCTTTTCCCTTTTTCTTTTTAATATGAAAATTTTAATCTGTTTTTAAATGATTGGGGTGTTTTAAATCTGTCTGGGCCAAATTGTTTAATTCGGTTTTACTCTGTTTTTAAATTTTGTATTTATGTATTTTATCGTTTGGCTGTTCACCGCCCTGAGTCCTTCGGGAATAGGGCGGTATATAAATCAAATAAAGATAAAGATAAAGACATCCAGCAGAAGGAGGCGAGCGCAACCCAGCCCTTAACCGCAGCCGCTAACTCATCACTCGTCTGAGTTGCGCAAAACCCAAAATGCTTGCCCGGCTCGAGATATGGAGCATAGGATGGCGGGAGAGGGGACGAGGTTGTGATCCAAAAGCTGAAGTCTCCTGAGTCCCGCACTGCGGAAACAGGGATCGCAACTCCGACCGGATTCGCAGAACAAACTCTTAACGAACGCGAGCAAGTTTTGGAACGCGCCCCTTCCCAGCTCCCATCGCTTTTTCTACTCTTTTAGTTATCGGCTCAGTGCGCTTCGGCTAAGGTTCCCCCCTTCAGTAACTACGTCGGAAGTGGTGCATCTGCTAAAGCCTCCGCCGGAGTGGGGAGGCTGGATTCGAGGGGGGGGATGTGTCCGACGTGGCTAAGTTTGGGAGGCGGAGCTGAGGCTGGAGGGGCGGGAGAGTCCAGAGCAGAGGCGCGCTGGATGGCAGGGGCAATCTGGAGCTCCCGGGTGTCAGACGGTAATGCATTCAGCCCTGTTCGGGGGTAGGGTGGAGTGGGTGGGAGAACATAGGTCGGAGTCGCCCCTAAGGGAGAAAACAGCTTCCCTTTCCCTCCTGGGGGGGCTGAAGGATTGGATTGGATCGGGTCGGGCCAAGGGGCTATTTGAGGGCAATACGCGCGCCGGCGTGGAATCGATGAGGATGCTGCGAGAGATGCCCGAGCAACAGGGGAGAACAGCAATCCAGCTAAATTGCTTGATGCCTGGGGGCTAAGGCGGCTCTTGCGTTTTTTCCACGTTTAATCCGTTGCTCTTCTTGCATTTACTTTCATTATCCCTATGATTAATTAAAAGCCTGGTCGGTTGCTTTTTAAGGGCTGGACTTTTGTGATGGCGAACCTTGGTAGACTTCCAGAGTGTTTTAGAGTTAATTTCAAATTCTTTTCTAACCCTGTGGGAGAAGGGCTGGGACATTTGTCTTCCTACCTCATCATTTTATCTTCAGATAGAAAATAGCCCAAAGACTCAACTTTATCAAAGTTTTGACCAGTAAGAATCATAGATTATCAAGATAGTGTGCTAAAATGCAAACTTGCAGCCATCACTATTTACCTTGCAATTTAAAGCAAGGCAGTGGATAGCAGTATCCAGAAAAAAAACACAACTTATTCTACTGATAAAAACTACAACTGTTTTAAAATGAAAGTTATCACAGTGATGTCTCACATCAGCCCTACTTAATTTTAGCTACTATCTGATTTTACATTCAATCTTTGTTGCCTTATTTCACATCAGTAGTAGTTTTAGCATGCCAGCTGCTCCTGTCAAATCTGTCCAACAGTTTATACATTCAGAAGTAAATTAATGATATGGGATATGGAAACAGCTATACTGGAAAAACAAGTGGATTTCATATTGTGATGTTTAATGAGGTCTGATCATCTAGAACTATAGGCCTTATCAGATGTAAAAGAGTGAAATAGGCCACAGATTTGTTTTATTGTAACCTTTTATGGACTAAAGTTTACTTCATCAGATGCCGCGAAAGGATAGTCTGAAATGTGAAATATACATAGGAATGGAGCAGGAAAGTAAAATAGTGGTGTCAAATGTCAGTGACAGAATCCAGTTTAATTGCATGTCACAATTTTTCTTCACTATAATGATTTCCTTGCTGAATTACACAAAACTCATAGCTTCCATTTAGTATGATTAAAGCTGGATGTTATTTATAGGAGTTGTAAGAATAATAGTTCAGTACATCTGAATGACACTAGATAAACACAGGAACCAATTCATAGGTGGTGTTGGTATTGTAGTTGTATGATCCCAGCCTGGCCAATTAAGAAAATGTAAATGTTGAAATGATACATACCTCAGTCTTTTTTCAGCCAGGCCTAATTTATATAATTTATCCTGTTACCTGGGGAAGGAGACTATTAACAACAGCTTTTTTTTTTCTCCCAAAAGACTGCAGCCTAGCATTAAGCAGATGTGGAGAAAAAATGATACGATGACTTTTCTGTTTTGATTAAAACTAAAAATGTATTCCAACATATTCCAAGTACTGAAAAGAAAAATCCTTTATGTACTTAATAATTTGTAACTAATTTGTAACTTAGAAAAATCCTGACCAAATGATATGTTGAGCACCAATATTGTAGATGGTTTTAAAGGGGGTTTGTCATGAGTTATGCATAGAATTATCCACGGTGATTGATTGCATTGGTTGCAAAAAAGTTATAACAAGAAATTCAGAAAAAAAGAATTGGTATTGCTTAGATATTCTAGATAGTTTAGGGAAATGATCTCTCTATTGCAAGTGGATTATTGTTGGCTAATTTGAGTTCATGGATGTATTGCTATCTGACTAGCAAATTATGCTAATAATACATAGTGGTTTCTGTTTGCATGATTCTGCAGAAGTGTAGCAAAACACAAAATTTATGGGATAGAGAATTTAGTTTCTGTAAAGTTTTCATTTGTTTCTTGGCTTTGAGGTTGAAATCACATTGCTTAACTTGAAAAATATCTGTCTTAATGTAGGATCTAATAAGATTTCCAGTGGTTGGTTTCTGGCAGAACTTGTCGGGCTGCGACTAGGAGAACTAGGGAAAAAACAGAAAACATCACAAAATAAATACTGTAAAATTAGAAAGGTTTTTTTCCAGGGTGAGAAATTTGAATTGCATGGCTATAAAATTCCTGCCAACTGTATGTATCTAATGTGCTACTTTAAGATGGAGCAATATTGGCATCTGATACCTTTAGGAAAAGGCTGTCAGGTTAGATCAGCTTGATCAAAAGTAATCTAAAATTGTAATGCATTTCATTTTTATTTAAGAAAGGATGGTGAACTGTACACCTGTAGGATTAGAAGTGCTGCCTGGGAATGGGATACAGTAGTCATTAGGGGAAGATGCTGAGAATGGAAAATCCTGAGGGGATGTTTTGAATCTTTCAGTGGTGCAGCTACAATGATTGGAAGCTCTGTAGCTGTAGCTGTTGGCAGAAGATCAGGATTTTCAGTAGAATTGCAGTCGCTTGCTGCTGAACTATAAAAAAAGCTCTGGGAATGAATTTGCTCATTGCTATTTCTATTTCTGCCGTAGAAAATAAAATGACATTTTGTCTGCAAGCACTTGCATAATTATAGACAAGACATGGGCTTCCAGAGAGAGTGCCTATAATTTATTTCTTTTTCCAGAATGGCTTGTTGGACAAGAGATCAGCTGGAAAAAATGTTAATGGACATCCTGTTTTCAGCTGTGTATGTAGTGGGGCGGAAAAACGGGAAGAAGTTCTGACTGTACCACCTAGCAGCTCCAAGAATCTCCCATGTGATTAATATTCTGGACTACTTCTTCTTTTGCTTCTTCTCTTTAATGTGCAAATTTATATTTCCAATAATAATGTGCATTGGAGAATTGGAGATGCACGAAAGCGATGGAGGCTTAGCTGAGGACAGAAAGCTGCCATTGCAAGCAAATTAGAAGACACCGTGCAGCTATTCTGTTTTTCTTCCTTAGTGAAATTTCTGGGATTAAAAGACAAAAAAATTAAAGATGGAGGAAGAACCAGAAAAATATGGGAAGGTTTGGAAAATGATGACATCTGGAACCTTCCCATCTCTGAATTTGATGAGCAGAACACGCTCTGAAAATGTCCTGCTTGGCTAGAGAGACAAATGTGAAATGGAACATAGTCCCAAGCTTATAATTATGCAGTTCAGGAATTCTAGGTGTTGTAGCAGGGGTGGGTTCTACTTACCTTTACTACCGGTTCGTAATGGGGCTGCGCACATGCGCAGAAGCATGTTGATGACATCGGGGTCAGTGGGCAGAGCCTCCCGCCGGTTTTACAACCGGTTCTATAGAACCTGTGCGAACCGGGGGCAATCCACCACTGTGTTATAGTCATAAAATGTTTGAAGGACACTAAGCTGGGGGAAGAAAAGCTTTTTTAAAATAATTTAAATAGATACACCGATAAAAGCCACATTATTGTTTTCTCGTCTAGTGTTGTTTCTCCGGTGACATGTTGTTCTCATTGACTTGGAGAAGTTATTCACACCCTGCAGTTTATTGCTTAAGGTCTTCCACAGATAATATGCCTTTAGGAAGACAGCTGCTCCCCAGCCAGTCATCGCAGCATTGCTCCGAGACAAATCTTTTCTTGGAATTCCAGCGTGGAATGTGCTCTGAGTCAGCTTCTGGATGACCTCAAATGAGTCCTTAGGTCATGAGGCTGTATGTTTTTTGCATTCAAGCTTTTTCCCTGGGCAATCACAGGCGGAGTTAAATATAGTCAAGTTTTCTTTAAGTTGATTGACAGGCAGAAATTGCTCATCTGAAACTTGATGATTTGTAGAGGAATATGTGATTCCCCCGCCCTCCTTTGGAAACCATTTATTTGAGTTGCAAGGAGCTCTAAAAATGTTTCCCTTGATGTCTCATCTTAAGGAAAATGCATGCGTAATGCCCATAGACTGCATATATGTGTATAGGATACTTTGTGTTGTAATTAGAGGCATAGTTAAAATAGGAATACCATACTTCTATACAACTTCCCTTTAATTAGTTTTTATTTAATAATAATAAAAAAATAACAGTAGAGATCACATTAAAAGAAGATAGAGGTGGGCCTTTCATTAAGGGCTTCCCAATTATAAATTTGAGATGTTGTCCCAGTTTGCTACTCTATTTCCCCTAAAATAAGACATCCCCTGATAATAAGCCCAATTGGGCTATTGAGCGTATGCACTAAACTAGCACCCCCTGAAAATAAGCTCTCCCCAAAAATATTTAAATGCATGCGCAGCCGATCCCCGCCATTTCCTCTGGTTTCCTCCATGCACCCCAAAATAATAAGACCTCCCTGAAAATAAGGCCAAGCGCTTATTTCAGGCTCCAAAAAAATATAAGACAGGGTCTTATTTTTGGGGAAACACGGTATCATCACCGCTGGTAGATGACAAGTATTTCTTGTCCTGCTCCACATAGAAGCATACTGCTCTTGCTTCATGTTCCCAAGTCACTACTAGCTACAGCTTGATGGTAACACAACTTACAGAAAATGCTCTATAACTTGTGGCTGAAACAACTTATCTTGGTAGTGTCCATGCAGCAAATTCTGTATGGGCAGCAAAGAAACAATTAAGACATTAGACCCACACACTGGTTTTTGATTTACAGGAATTTCAAAAACCTAAGAGTAGTTCAAGCTGCTGATAATAAGAGATATCCGTCTCTTCCCTGCAGCCTGCTACTTGGGAGGAAGAAAAAGAAGGGGATCAAAAAGAAAAAAGGGGGTTTCGGAAAGAGAACTGATATCTTTACCACCTTTTGGCTCTGGCTGGATTCCCTGCTTGGCTCAGCTCTGCCTCCCCAAATAGTAATTCATGAGGGTATGTGTCAGTAACAACAGCAACAACAACAACAATAAAAATCAAACTCCCAGATGTAATATATCTGGGTATTACATTGTTATTTCCGATGCTTGCAAGGTATTGAGGCTATTAGAATTCTTTTGGTGGTTTTAACAAAATGTTCATTTAATATTTTTGAGAAGTCTTAAGTAGATCACAAACTTGATTAAGATATACTTGATTTATCTCCTAGTACTGTCCATGTAAATAGAAATTCTATTTTAGTATCCTTTTGCAAATGACCATTTGTTCACTTTGTTTGTTATGGGCGTGACATCTAAAAATAGTACTTCCGTGTATTGTAGTATATGTGTGTGTGAGAGAGAGGGGGAAGGAGACAGGGAGGGAGGGAGGGAGGGAGGGAGGGAGGGAGGGAGGGAGGGAGAGAGAGAGAGAGAGAGAGAGAGAGAGAGAGAGAGAGAGAAGACTCCCGAACATAAAAAACTCTGGAGTAGTCTGTTTCTTAACTTCTCTTTTACCACTTCGGTGTTGAGGGATATAGAAGAATATTCAGGTTAATTCCATGTATAAAAAATGACCTGATTGACAATTGACTCCAGCCATAGGACAGAGTCCTCTACCAAATTTAGGAGAGAATCCAATGTCTTCCAATAGAGGGATGGCTGAAAAATTGCTATCCCAGATTGCTCCTTAAGACAATTGTTTAATTGTTACCAATGGTAGGGTCACACATTTTGTGTTGCAGAGTGCTTTGCCTACACCAGTTGGCTTTCACCCATAGGCAGTTTAATGAATGGGACCATTCACTGCTGATAGAAGGATTGTATGTGCTGAATGGAATAAGACTTGAGTGTCTCATAGAAATTCACTCTAAGAAACAGTTTAATATCGCATGTCAGATATAGTCAGCCAGACGTCCTAAATATGTGTTGGCTGTGACTTTAACATATTAGCTTTATTTCTGTGTTTGGGGTTCAAACTGTTTGGGAGGAAGGATTGAGTTTTTGATTTTCTTTCTAGACAAGACTAATCCAACATGGCTTAATTTGATTGTTTAAAGAGACCATTTGGCCATGTGAGGCCATTTTAGTATACGTATCAGAAGAGTATGTATTTGTCTTGAATATCATCAGATCTGTCAAGATCCTATAGTGTTTTTAGTTTCTGTAAATGCAACTGCTGAAAATGCAATAATGATGATGATGATTTATTAAACTTGTGTGCTGCCCAACTCTCAATGACTCTGGGCATTTCACAACAATCAAAGAGATTACAATAAAATCAATAAAACATGAAAAAGAAAGATAAAAGATGGCAAACATGACAGACAAGATAGATTGAAACCAAGGGTCTCACTCACCCTTGCCAGAGGCTGGGTGAAGAGCCAGGTCTTCACATCCCTTCTAAACAACAGCAGAATTAGGCCATCTGGATCTGGTGGTGGTGGGGACTTCCAGAGGGCACGCACAGGGGTGGGCTTCAAAAATTTTAGCAAGGGGTTCTCTGCCCGGTTGCTGGGTGGGTGTGGGCATGGCCTAGTTGGCCTCCTGCACAGGTTGCCCTCCCAGGCTTCGGAGGCTTTCCTCGAGCCTCCGGGAGAACGAAAATAGCCTCCCAAGGCTCTGGAGGCCCTCCTGAACTTCCAGTAGGCCCATTTTTTGCCCTCCCCGAGCCTCTCTGCACGCCCTGCATGCCCTGCACTTACCTGCATCCAAAACAAGCTGCATGGGGACTCCTGGGAGGAGTGGGTGGGGCCAGCCAGGAGGGGGATTTGGAGGTTTTCTGAACCGCACAGAATCTTAGCTAGAGGATCTCCCGAACCCCTGCGAACCCCCAGCATCCCACCTCTGGGCACGCACTGTTGAAGAAAAGGTGCACTTCTGAGGTCTCAATAGGTTTATCTTGTTTAATTGAAGGAACCTGGACTGTACCAATCCTGCAAGACTGAATTAACTGGGCAGATGTTATGAGAAAAGACAGTCCCTCAATTAACCATAGTCCCATAACTATGCTATGTAGAACTTTATAGGTAGCAGCCATCAACTTGAATCACACCTGGGAGCAAACTGACAAAGATACTACATGAGCATAACAATTACTGCTTGCACAACTGCATTCTGGACCAATTGAAGGTTCTGGGTGGTCTTCAAGGGCAGCCCCAGGTAGACAGAATCGTGTTACAAGGGCATGAATGATTGAAGCACCCTGCAATATAGGAAAGGACTCAAAGGACCGTGCAGGTCTGGATGGGGAGGAACAGGCTCCAACTGAACCCCTCCAAGACTGAGTGGCTGTGGCTGCCGGCTTCCCGATATAGTCAACTGGTGCCATCGCTGACTATTGGGGGTGAGACATTGGCCCCCACGGAGAGGGCATGTAACTTGGGTGTCCTCCTGGATGCACGGCTGTCTTTAGAAGAGCATATGACGGCCGTGGCCAGGGGGGCTTTCTATCAGGTTCGCCTGATATGCCAGTTGCGCCCCTTTCTGGATCGGGACTCCTTAAGCACGGTCACTCATGCCCTCCTTACTTCCCGCCTGGACTACTGCAACGTTCTCTACATGGGGCTCCCCTTGAGGAGCACTCGGAGGCTCCAACTGGTGCAGAATGCGGCCGCGCGGGTACTTATGGGGGCGACATGGCGCTCCCATGTGACACCTCTCCTGCGCGAGTTGCATTGGCTTCCAGTGGTCTTCCAAGTGCGCTTCAAGGTATTGGTTCTCATCTTCAAAGCACTCCATGGCTTAGGACCCGGTTACTTACGAGACCACCTTCTGCCTCCGATAACCTCCCACCGGCCAACACGCTCCCACAGAGAGGGCCTCCTCAGGGTGCTGTCTGTCAGGCAATGTCGGCTGGCAACCCCCCGGGGAAGAGCCTTCTCTGTGGGGCACCCGCCCTCTGGAATGAGCTACCCCCAGGGATACGACTGATCCCAGACCTCCGGACCTTCCGCCGGGCCCTGAAGACTTTTTTATTTCAGCAAGCCGGGCTGGGTTAAAAATCTTTTAATTGGGGAATTTTATGGGTAAGGGGTTTTAAATTGGAGAAGCCAAAGATAATTTAATTTTGTTTTAATGTATTTTAATATTGGTATTGTGTGTTTTTAATTTTGGCTGTTCACCGCCCCGAGTCCTTCGGGAGAGGGGGCGGTATAAAAATTCAATAAATAAATAAATAAATAAATAAATAAATAAATAAATAAATAAATAAATAAATAAATAAATAAATAAATAAATAAATAAATAAATATGCACCATATGGAGTTGTGCAAAGGGCTTCTTGAGAGAGCTACCACCTCCTCTTTAAGCTCTGTGAATCCAGGAAGACCCCTAGATTGCACACCAATGTTGAAGGGGGAAATGCTACCCCATCCAAAGTAAAAAAATGGAATATTCCTAGGTCTGGGTGGCCCAAATACCCACAGCTATTTGATCTTGGTAGAACTGAGGTGGGAGATAGGTCCTCCCTATCTAAACCTACATGACTCCAGACACTGGGACAGAACCTTGACAGCCTCACTCTGCTAGTCTGGGATTGAAATATATAATTGAGGATAATCAACTTACTGATGATACTGAACCCAAACCAGTGGATGACCTCACCCCACAGTTTCATGTATGTTGAACAAGAGAGAAAGAAGAACCCTGCTGAACCTCAAAAAGGAGGGGCCTAGGGAGTGATTTCTCTAATCAACGTTGTCTGGAACTGGCCCCAGACAAATAGAGATAAAATAGGGCTCCCAATCCCCAATCCACAGAGCCAACTCAGAAGGACATCATAGTCAACAGAATAGAAAACTGCTGAGAGTTCAAGGAGCAAAAGAATAATGTTTCTTCTGCCCTAAGGCCTGGTAGATGGAATCCGTTCAGGAAGGGGAGGAGCTAACCGGCAATTGGTTTCTCAGCTGAGCCAAAGACGTATATCCTCTCTTCTCCAATGTTCTTTCTTTAGAAGTGTGGGTTTTTCTCAGCAGATGACAAACACATACAGTACCTGGGGATGAGTGTGCCCCATCACTGTCCCTATTATAAGACTATGTTGTTGTTGACTGACTGCTGGCCATTAGGCCATTAGGCGAACAATTGCATGACTACCTTTGAAAAGCAAATAAATGTAGATGAGCCCCACCCCATTTATTTTCAAATCTGTTTATGAAATAAAATAATTCACTCTTAATCTTGTAGCCTTCCCTCATTGCAGTCCTGATCTAAATATTTTTTAAATCACACATTTACATCAATGTTAAGTGTTAATTATGGGGATGAGATCTTAATTCTTTTGGATCTTAAAAAGTCCCTCGGTGTCTCCTCAATTAGCCTTGTAAGTGAGGGCACGAGAAATTAGCTCATAAATATTTTTATTTGCTTGCCTCTTACATACATAAGAGCAGTCAGTCAGGAACTGCGCTGAGTGACATTTCCCTATTGAAAGTCAACAAAACTGGATTAACGTTACTCTCCTTGAAATAAAAAGAGACGTAATCTGAACGGGAGCAAGGAGAATGCTGTGAGAAAGGTGATTTTCAACTTACTGATAGTAGAAAAGAAACAAAAAGCTGGGTATAGAGCGGCTAATCTTTTTTCTCTCTCTCTTGCTTTTAGGGATTATCCAGCCAGGCTGATTCCACAGAGCCACGATGGGGGAAAGGTTGCTCCTCTGTGGAATTCTCTTTTTCCTGTTGCTTAATGTTGTCTGTCAGGCCCAGGATCTTCCACTGAGCCAGGCAACCCCAGGGACGAGCTCCTTATGTGAAAAAGATGGTGGGTCCTGGGGAGCTGTATTCAGTGAAGAACGCCTGGATGCCTGGATCTGTTCTCTGATTGGTTCTCTTATGGTTGGGTTGAGTGGGGTTCTTCCTCTACTGTTCGTTCCTTTCGAGGTGGGAGCAGCATTGAAATCAGAAGGTAGGTCAGTTCTTCAGCAAAGCATTCTTGTTAGTCTTGGCTGTCATTTGTGCCTGTTCTCACCAATCAGTGACTACCAGAGGCAGCATGTATTTTGAAAGCAGTAACTGAGTGCTCTTTATGGCCTTCTCGAAATGTAGTAATGATCAGTTCTGTCGTTTTGCAAAGTAACTTTACAGCTAAAGGTGAGGCCTCATGTTTTGTTCAGTGAATAGTTTAAAAGTCACATTGGACTTCACCCATCATACTTTATCCTGTTAACCCACATTTCACAACCGAACAAGTGGAATTCTCTGATTTCCTTAAAGGAAGATAAGGAAGTGATTTTGCATGTATACTTTAGCAGTTTGTACTATTTGATTTCCATTAGTTATAGCATTGACCAAAATAGTAGACGGAAGATTGAAGCCTTCCTCCTCACTGACCACAAGAAAGCCAACCTTCTCAGTGGCTTTTCAGTTTTTGCCAGACAGTGCCCACCCAGTTTGTATGTCTGTTCCTCTTAACAGTGTGTTAAATCAATCAATATATTAATTTCTCTAGCAAGCGATTGGATCTTTGGAATATCCCCAATTTGTTTATTTGCCAAAGGGCCAGGCATCAACTCTCTTGCTTTTTTCTGTTGGGTCCAGCACAGATGGCAGTGGGAACCTTCCAGTGTGCAGCTTTTGCTGCTCTCAAAAGTGCAGATGCCAGGGTCTTCCAGCTGGCAGGCACAATTTAGAGGTTTAAAATATATCGGTGCTTTGTTGGAAGCAGTGGATCTGAGCTAATTAAATAGCAGCTATCTTTTTGTATGCAAATATCCTCTCAGACTTGTCATATGGAGGAGAATAAGACCAAGCCCTGAAGTGACTGGCTGCCGTTTGTTTTTCAGAGGGATCGCATCGAATGAAGCAGCTGCTGAGCTTTGCTGTCGGTGGACTTCTGGGTAATGTGTTTCTCCACCTCCTTCCGGAAGCCTGGTCCTACACTTGTAGTGCTGCTGCAGGTAACACCCAGGCCTATATCAAGATAATGGGACAAGTCCATTTCATCCCATCTATGAAGATAATGTTATAGATTCTAGAATGGACTCATTTTCTGGGGTTGCAATCATAGAAAGGCCTGGTATGATAAAGAATCAGGCAGAGCTGTAGGTGTAATAAAGAAAAAATAGACAAATTGAACACAACTCCTGAATCCTCTGTGTACTGTAACACTCTTGGATGGCGAGGGAGTGAAGCCCTATAATTAATAGATTGATTAGTAGAAGTGGGATCTTCTGACCAGGAAGCAAGGCACCTGTCCTTGTTTTGCTGTCTGCTTTGAATTTGCAGAGTCTATCTTTCTTAAAACTGTCGTCCCTAGCGACTCTTCTGGAATGTGTCTCCATTTGTTTTCTTATCTGGCCTCTGGGCTTCATCATCTCACACATGTCTGCCTGTCAGGCTTGCTCGGCTGCAGTCAAGAGCTTGAAGCTAACTGTAGTCCGTTTAATCAAAGGTACCATTTAAGAACTTGCCAAACTATGCCAGGAAGATGCATTAGCTATTGCAAGCTGCAGGTTTCCTGCTGTGCATAAAATTTAAGAAGGCTTGGATGCTAAATTTTCAGCTTTGAACATGCAGAGTTGTACATGGTTCTTTATTCGATAAATCCTTGTCTTGTTTGAAGACTAATGCATAAAAGTTTCAGGACTCAGGCTTTCAAAACAAAATCAACACTCTGTAGCAAAACCTAGATAGGCAAGAAATTACATATATGAAGGCTCTAGGAAGAAAAAGAGTTAAATATATAGTAGTAGCCAGAAAGAAACAAGAGTTATGCAAACGTACAGGCTCTTAACTTTTTAAAAAATAATTTCAAGTGATTAACTGCAATCTAAACTTTTAGAAAGGTGAAAACAAGATTTTTTTTTCAAGAGTATAAACTCCATGCTGGATACTATATTATCACTAGATTATATTAATCTTATAATCTAAATAGATCAATTAGGCCTTGATCACAATCTTTAGTGTAGGCTGATTATAAATAGATCATACCTTTTCAAATTATGTGCAGCTATAAATATCTCATTGAAAAAAAGCTGCCTTCGTACCAAAACTCAAAAGCAGTGATTTCCAGTTTTAGTTCTCAAAAATTGATAGACCGTACCTAACATAGTCCTTTATCACTAATCAAAATAACAGAGGATGATGGGATAATATCAACATCTGAGAAGTCAAAATTAGTGATCTTTTGATTTTGCTATTTCTTTTGATCTAGTGATTTTTTAAATTTTGTACTATGTAGAATATTTCGAGCCCATTGATGTATTTTATGTTTGCAACTCTGAGTATGTAATCAGGATTTCTTTATACAGATAATTTTTGGCTCTGCTGCAAAATTTCCAAGGTATATCCTCTTCTTGCAGTCAGAATTGCCAGTCAGATTGTGTTGTGTGTGGACAGACTTTTCAACCCTGAAAAGTCTCACAGGTTGCCTTGTTTAGCAACTATTCAAATGTAAGAGGTTATAAAAAATAGCTTTGTGACCAATCCTCACATTTATGACTGTTGCAGCATCCCACGGTCATTTGGTTGCCATTTGTGTGTTTCATAATTGGCAAGTTAATAAAGAAGGCTGAAGTAAAATAATAAATTATGTTTTCACTTAATGACCAAAGGGGAAATGAAGTTATAAGCCTGTTACAGTCATGTGATTTTCCATTTAGTAACTTAGGTGTTGGAGTTGTTGGCCTTAATTGTGAGTGCTAAGCAAGAACTACCTGTATCAGTTGTTGGTTGGAGGCAGAGGCCATATTTGCACAATACTTTGGTTCACCCACTTGTGAAACCCTTCAAATGCATCTTGCCTCTCTCCTGCTACCAAGCCATTGCAGATGGTTGTTTTCCTACTAATAGGAAATTAGTAACCTGATCCCTGCCAGCTAGCTGATCATGTGATCACTGACCAGCCAGGAGCAGATGGTCTAGTTTCTTGCCATTAATTATACTGGCTGGTCAACTGATCGTAGGGGTTGGGGGTAGGGCAGGGAAACCAGGTCTCCTCACAGCTGCAGACCCACATGGCTTATGGCGACAGTTGGTTACCCATGGATGGTACAAATTTATATAATGTTATATTTATGACAATCCTTGCAGCCCCAAGTACTTTGTGGCCCTCTGTAATTCAATAGTAATTTATTGATCTATTGCAACAGATAAATTCCTTACCCAATTCTTGAGTGCCAAATATTTTATTTTTCCTTGACCTAAAACCAAGACACTCTCTGATGAATCAGAAGTAACCTAGTGAAAAAAGGGTATTTTATGGTAACCTAGTGAAAAGAGGGTATTTTATGTAGCAGGAATAATAGCAAATATTTTAAGTTGCATTATTTGATACCTGGAGTGTAGGAGCCTTAGGATTTTGTTTTTTGTTTTCTGGTACCCAGCTTTGGTGACAATAAAGCAATGAAACTTGCCCTCTACAGAATTAGTTTCCTTGGGGATGCTTAGAGCTGGGAAGAATCATCCTGTGCAGCCGTGATTTTTAGGTGTACAGTAGGAACTGATTGCTCTACTTCTTCTCCCCACCCTTAAAAGGAGAAGGGCAGAGCTTCCAACAGCAGAAGCTTCTGGGGCTCTGGGTGATCATTGGCTTACTGACCTTCCTGAGTGTGCAGAAGATGTTCCCAGATAGTGAAAAACAAGGAAGCACCAACTTGGTGAGTGGACTGTGGAAGGAGCACTTGAATTTGCTTTAGATATGGCATGATATGCTGTTCTTTGCTCCGCATGACACTTTATCCCATCTGTCTCTTTGAAGCCTCCTTCATAGGTTAGGAATTCAGTGTATACAAACTGTGGGGGAGAAGAAAAGCATCCATTTATTGTGCCCCACAGGAATCTTCTGCTAATAGTGAAGAGCCTTGAGCACTGTGTCGAATTTCTATCTTTTCCAATTCTAACCTCTCTCTGCTTCTGCACTGAGCATATACTGTGCAAATATCTAATTTCTAAAAGTTGTATGTGTTATAGCTTATAGCTATGCGGTGCTTCAGATTTGATACCAAAAATAGGTTTTACAGCGCAGAAGGATACAGATGTAGCATCTGTCTGCTGTTTTTCAAAGTACCCATATTATTGCCTGGGATCAGGTAGCAGCTTTGGAGGACGGTCCCATGGAAAGGCACAGTTGTTTTTAAAGAGTTGCGGGCAGATGCTACATATATGCCCTTGTGCACTTGAAGCATCTTTTTGGAAATGGATTCAAAAGCCTACATTATCCTAATACAGGTGTCAGCAACCTGCGACTCTGGAGCCGCATGTGGCTCTTTCACCCCGCTGCTGTGGCTCCCTGTCACTCAAAATATGCGTCACAACTGCCGATGTGCAACACCCGCCGGCATGCAATTTATTGAGCTTTTCAACCCCCGGTAGGCCAACCATGGATAAATCCAAGAAAAGAAAAGTTTCAGAAAAAAAAACAGAACATTTAATTCAACTACATATGCTAGTTTTGTGGCCGCTCAAGAAATAGTCAGGCATGGGAATGGTTTTGTGGCTCCTGGTGTTTTCTTTTCTGTGGGAAACTGGTCCAAATGGCTCTTTGAGTGTTTAAGGTTGCAGACCCCTGTCCTAGTATATACATGTTTTGCAAATTTCAAAATATACATTTTTCATGGTTCTTTTTTTAAGTGTCTGTCTTTTGGAGTGGAGTTAGAGAGACTGAAGTAAATGATATTGATTTTCCTTCCACAGCAATGTTTGAAGTATATAAATGTGTGTTTAATTTGTGTGGCTGTATTCTCACCTAGTAAATATTCAAAACGATGCCTTGTGCGTTGCCTTTGGAATGGGATCTTTTAAAGGGAATAAGAGAAATCTCTTAGCCATTGTTTGATGGACATGGATAAAGTTCAGCCACTTCTCCATGATTTTAGATCAATAATTGCAAACCAGTTACTGAAAGGACCCTGAATGGCGGCAGTTTATCTATGCAAGATGTAAACACTCCAGTCCAAAGAAAGAAGTCCAGCCCTGCTCATTGTAATGGGTCTTCTCATTTACTCTCATCATCAACTCAGAAAATCAAGGTAAAACATTTATTGATGGCCTCTAGAGATCCATGGCCCATAGAGAGATAAAACAGATCACTTGAAGAAAAACACTCAAAAGAAGTTCATGGCCTGCTGAAAATAAGCAAGTGGGAGAGGATTCTAAAGACGAGCAAACTTTCCATTTGTTAATCTTTGTACTATAAAACATAGAGCTGCTTTATATTGACTGACACTATTAAGATACCCAGCCCTGTATATCCCATTATCACATGTGGAAATCTCCTCTGTTCTGGCTGCCTCCTTGTATAGGAGATGCCCAGGATTGCATCTGAGATTTTGCATATACAAAAGATGTCCTCTGCCACTGAACTAAGGTTCCATCTCCCATCTCAGTGCCCCATATGCCTGGTCCCATGTATATCCTCCTTAACCTTAATTCTTTATCATGCTACATTTAGAGAGAGAATAGGACTAAGTAAGTGATCTGGATTCAAAGGGGGAAAGTTGATTTGTAATACCTACTAGTATTTCCACAAAGAAGCAAAAGACACATTTGATTTAAAGATGTTCCAAGAGAGGTGACATGTGCACGCAGACACATACCAAATTCCTTTTTTTCCCCTCTCTGAATTCAGAATGTTGCACACCTCTAATAAATAGCCAGTATCTGGATTCTAACAATGTTCTTAACTCTACAATCACTAGAGGAATGCTATTTCCTGCAGTGCCTGGACTCTGTATTCTTAAAAATACACTTTCCAATTGAGAAAGGAGCTCGGTCAGGCATGCTGTGTTCCTGTTGAGAACTATCAGGGCATATAGAGTTATGCCCGTCAAAACACAGTAATGCTGAATCTGCTGAATTTTGTGTTTGTGTGTTTCTAGGGACCATCATTTAATTCCATGTTGCTATTTCCAAAGCAATGTGCCTCCTTGTTCCCACATTCAAATCCAGATCTTTATTCATTTCTTTATCAATGCAAATACGTTTATATTATCTAAATTTCGACTGAGAGAAAAATAAAGGATCTTTATTCCACATCCTTATTCCAGTCATAGACCGGCATATAATAAGAATGCCCATATGTGAATACAATTGCATGCAAAAGTTTAGGCACCTTAATCAAGCTGTATGATTCAGTGGATCCCTAAATGAACAAAAGCTAGCACACAAAAGCCTCTACAAAGGTAAACACAACAATTTCCTGCAGACCTGAAACCATAGTTCCTCTTCATATGCAGTCCTTCCCAATTCAGGCTAAGATAGCAGTGAACATGGCAAGTTTCAGAAGTTGGGCATTTAGTCAGAACTTTGTAATACCTCTTCTAGCAAGAATAACAGCTTCTACATGTTTCCTGTAGCCAATGAAAGGTCTTTCTACTGTATTCATTCGGTGTATCCCCCTACTCTCTCTTACAGATCTTTCCTAGCTCTGTCGCCATGTGGTGGGGATTCTTTTTGAACTGATGATGTATTGTTCTTTTGCAAAACAGTGGAGGCTTTTTTGCTTTTTAAAAAAACTATTTACAACAAATATTTATAACTCAGTCCCACTGTTGAGCCAGTGTTGGGTTTCCTCCTAGTCTCCCACTATCTCTCCTTCCTCCCCTTTTCTTTCTGATTCTCTTCCTCATTTTTGGGTTTGATAAGAGGGAGAGAGAGTGCTCAACATGGCTTGACATTCTCCTGCTGCTTCTCTATCAGGCAAAGAACCTGTCTCGGGGTGCCCAGTCCTTTCCCAAAGACCACAGCTTCTCCATGACAGCTGATCCACTCATTGCCCTTGGTGAACGGTTGCCTGCAGCCAGTCCTTCTCATTCCAGGGTCTTGGGTAAAGCTCTAGTGCCTTTGGGCCTTCATTTCTTTTCTTTCAGGAAAGCCAACCCTGGACCTTTCTTCTCCCTTCCCAGTTAGAAGCCAACAACTGCCTCACACATTTAACTTCTTTCTCCAACTTTTCTGTCCAGCCACTCTATTTGTTCTGTGGACAGACTTTCCCTCTCTCTCCTCTCCTTTTCTCCCTTTCCAATTTTTAGCCAGATCAGCAGCATACCCCTCAACAAGGAGGGGGGGAGGAGGAGGGTCTCTCTCTCCCCCCCCACCGCATCTCTGGAGCAATGGGACTGCTGTCTCAACATCAGACCAGCTAGCAGCCAAGTCTGCACATCAGCCATTAATGATAGCCCAGCTGCAATTCAGGGCCAAAACCGAGCTCCCTTTCCCCCTTTTATTTGCTGCGAAGGCTGGCTCACATGAGCAGAACTGCAGGCCCCTAAAACTAACATGCCACAATCTCCTCACAGGGTTTTCCATAATACTCAAATCTGGGTAATGTGAAGGCCAGTACTAAAAGCTTTACCTTTCTTGTAAATAACTCATGGTTGCTTTGGACATATATTTCAGATCATGTTGAAATATCCAACTTCTTTTTAGCTTTAGTTTCTTCACTGACAGCGAGTTGTTAGTTTTGGGACCCAGTGATATTTAGATGGAACCATGCCATCTGGACAATATTTCTAGTGCTGCTCTCTGCCACATAAGCCCAGAACAATAATTGTTGGCCAAGAAACCATTTTTCTTCAAATGTTTCTCTGAGTATATCTTATGTGGTTGTGACTGAACAATTCAATTTTTATTTCATCACTATAAAGCCCTTTGTTCCAAATTTTCCTGGATTAAGGTTTTCTTCTGCCTGTCTTTAATGACAAAGATGAAAGAAAACTACAGTGACAGAATTCTGACGAATCTTCCAAGCAGATAGATCAGTGTTGCAGAAGCAATGCGATGAACTTCTGATAACTATTCCAGCTTTAGCTGAACTTGCAAACAGGTTGTTTGCGTTGATACATGGATTCTGTTTTTCAGAATATCCATTTCTTAACTCTGTCCCTCTCAGTCAAAATCGCTAGCTGGAATTGGTTCAATATTTTTTATACCTTTTCCCCACTTTGTAACAGTGAATTAGCTTCATTTATAAATGTTCCGACAGCTCTTTGGAGAAATCCAGTGGTTGTCAGAAGTAGAAATGACAACAATCACGAGAGAGGTGAGAAGGATCAGAATATTGTTCTTCGGTGGTATTGATTTTATTGATAGAGATTGATCACCTTTTTTGCCTTGTTAAAAACATTAGAGTTAGAACAAAGTAACCCTGAATCAACTGTAGTTTATTCATCTGCACTTGCCATGTTCATTGTTGTCAACAGCTCATAAATACTAAGTATACATTCAAATGTATAGAAATATATTGTGTTTAGCTTTATATCATGAAGCTGTTGTGTCAGGCTCTGTCAACATCAGAATTCATTGAAACATACAGACTATATGGGCCTTTCCACACAACTGTACTATACATACATATATGGGGATGACATTAAGCTGTGCTCATCTAGCGTAAGCAACATTATACAAAACATTTATGTAAAAGCTAAAGTACATGTAAGCAAAAACTAGGAATGGAATACATGTTTTCTGCTTTGCTTGTGAAAATGGTTATCTACTGTATGTTGGTTAATCTTTTGAATTCCTTTCTTTTTGTTGTTGTTCTTCTTCTTCACCCCTTCCCTTTGCCCTGGGCAGATGAGTGGATATCTCAATCTCTTGGCTAATACAATAGATAATTTCACACATGGCTTGGCAGTGGCAGCTAGCTTCCTGGTTAGCAGAAAGGTAAGTTCACTTATTTAGGAGACTGGCTCTCCTTTAACAACGTGAAGATGATTTAAAAAGAAATGTACCCTATTCCGCAAATATATTGCTTCCTTTACTCTTAACACAAATGTACTAAAAATTCCATCTCTATCCAACATCCAGTCTACTTATATTGAATATCTATTGCTACCTTTGGGTTGTGGCTTTGGCAGTGCAGGGATACTGTGGTGTACTGTTCATCTTTGTCAGAGGCAATCAGCCCCGTTACCTTCCTGGGGTAATTGCCTGGATCATGGCATTTTCCTTGTGTATACTTTTGAAAAATAAAACCGGAATACATCTTCTAATTAAACTCATATTTATTGTAAAGAAGAAAATAAAACATCTTACTGATCTAATTAGTTATATTTTGAAATAAAGTTCGTGCCAGCTGCTTCTCAGCAGCCGGACCTTCCTTGGCAAGAGAACAAAAAGAAAGTGTGTGAAGGAATGTGGGTGGAGTACATGCGCAGTTTAGCTTACTGATAAGGATTCTTGGCAAGCTACGGAAAGTCAGATAGTCCAGAAATGAGAGCTCAGCTGGTAAATAAAAAAACGCAGTGACAATCTTGTTGCACAACAATCAGCTAATCAGGATGATATCTGGTAGACAACTATCCTAACTTCTTGTTTTGAAAGACTATAGTGTCCACACTGAATTTAATTAATTTAATTTAATTAATTAAATTTATATGCCGCCCCTCTCCGAAGACTCAGGGCGGCTGAAGTTGTGCAGTAGGAATGGTTTAGGATTGCAGGCCCACCATGATCATTGGTCTAGCTCAATTTCTTCTGGCGGCACTTATATAGGACATATAGCAGGTGTGGTATTTGATTGGTTCCCATGGTCCCAAGATGGAGGAACTGTTTTAATTCCATTCTCATGGACAGATTACTGTCTCGTCAGTTTAGTTTAATGGCTGTTGTAAACCATCATAGAATTAAAATAGTCTGGCCCAGCACTTAATAGATCCAAGAGTTCGCTAAATATGCTTGGAGAATTTCTTGCTTTCATTTGGGCAACAGAGTTAAAGCCTTGGCAGATCTGTGAAATTAGGAGAGGACCCAGATGAGCTGCCTTCTTCCCAATAAAGTACAATGGAGGAGGTTTCAAATGCAAGCGGAAGAACTCTTAGGGCAAACTAGATTGAACATGTAGTGGCAGATCATGGAGTAATGCAGCAAAGAGAGCTGACTTGTGTGCTCTTGAGAAGATTCCAAGAACTGTAATGAATATAAAGCATGGCAGTTAGACTGCTATCTGGCTGCAAAATGTAGGATTCATATGGTATCTTTCTTAAAAGCTCAGCACTGTTTGTCACTTGCTTGCTAGGTTAATTGCTTTTTTTGTTTATATATATACATATTTAATTTTGTAAGCTGCCTTAACTGTTATATGGACTTTTCTGACATTTTAATCGTATGTACAGAAATATAACTTTTGCCACCAAGATTACATAGGATGATGATGATTCATTTTATTTCAGTGCCATCCAATGCCAGATAAAATCTGAGTGGCTTATGATATATAAACATGAAAGGGATGTGATGGCCAAACTAGGGGAACATGAAAACTCATTGTAACGCATACACTTAATGCAACCCATCGAACACACAGTATTCACTTAAGCTCCTTCCTCTCCATCGTACTCCTTCCTCTGTAAACAGATAACTTGATCCATGGCATTGCCAGCAGCAGGAAATCCGGGATTTGATTCCTTCAGTCAACTGATCAAATAGTCACATGGCTGGCAAAGTTTGGATTGTTTAGTTTCCTGTTGATTATGGCAACAGAAAGCTAGCAATTTGTGCCAGATAGCTATGTAGCTGATTAAAAGGATCAATTGGCCAGTAAGAAAATAGGAAGATGGATCTTTAGGCTTTATTGTTTCAGGTGGAGGACCACATGAGGTCATGGGCCACAGATTTGTCTATCCATACTTCTTTAGAAAGTCTGTCTAATATTTAGGAAACAATTTCATCATTTTTTTAACATTCTTCTTTAATATTTACAACAAAGCCTCCAAATTCCACTTGAATGTTTCCTAGAAGTACTCTAAATGCTAAAGCTGCATAGCTCACTGTCTCAGGGAGAACCATGTTGAGCTATAAAAACCTTCTCGTAGCTAGTTTTGTCTCCTTGATTTTTTAGGTTGGACTCCTTACAACCCTGGCAATTCTTCTACATGAAATACCCCACGAGGTGAGTGCGTCTGGAATATGTGTGCTGGGAAGCGGAGCTCACGTTGAGCAGAAATCCTGGGTACATATACACAGCATCGGTAACACAGAGAGCTTTGCAGGCTGATGTAAGCCAAAAGCGGAGAAATATTTTCTTCTGTTCATAAAACAGCATGAAAACTAATATTGGAAGAGAGGGGAGAGGCCACCAATAGGTGTGAAGACATCTTGATCTTTTTGTTTCTTCATTGCGAAAATGAGGAGTTAGCAGACGGTAAATATTGCTTAGCATCCCTTCTTGTTAAGCAACCAGAAGAGTCGTCTTCTTCTTTAAGGCGAAAACCATGTTCCCAATCTGGTGTTCTTCAGACATATTAGGTTATACCAGATGTTTCAATGCATTTCCAGGACTCTATGTTGGAAAAAATGCAATGCCTTGCATCTTAGTTTAGGCTTTGTCATTAATTACCCCAGCTCTGAATCTTGGAATTTCTTCAATTGTACGTATTTATTAAAATGTTTCAAGCCTATCTTATCACAGTAAATCTCAGGCTGAGATATAGTTGGTGGAACAATTCATCCCATAAATTGGATCTTCTGCATGAAGAAGAGCTGAAGAAGCTTCTTGGATGAGAAGCGAAACGTCTTCAAAGAAAACCAGAAAGTCCAGTCACCTCTTGAAAAAGCACCTTTGGGACAATCTTCTGCATAATATCAATATTATCTATCGACATTATAGAAAAAAACATTCCAGTAGTCCCTCTACATTTTTTTTTCCTTCTTTTTTCCCTGTCTCTTAAGAGCTACTTAAATACGAGGGCACCCTTAGCACACACTTACGCCACAGTAATAATAATATTAACAGCAACCACAACAACAGCAAAAAAAGATAAATAGCAGCATAGATGAGTTAAAGATTACTAGGTTACTATGTAATCCTTGACTTATGGACACGATTGGTACTAAACTTTCCATTCCTAAGCAAGATGGTTGTTGAGTGAGTTGCACCCAATTTTATGACAGTTTTGCCATGGTTGTTCAATGAGTCACTGCTCTTGTTAAGTGAATCATGCAGTCATTAAATGAATCTGGCTTCCCACATTGACTTCGCTTGTTGGAAGCCAGCTGGGAAGTTCGCAAATGGTGATCATGTGACCGTGAGATGCTGCAACCATCATAAATACACGCCAGTTGCCAAGCATCCGAATTTTGATCCCTTGACCCTAGGGATGGTGTAATGGTCATAAGTGTGAGGACTGATTATAAGTCAAGTTTTTTTCAGTGCCATTGTAACTTCAAATGGTTTCTAAACAAATGGTTTGTTTAAGTTGAGGACTGTCTGTATAGTCTTTTTCTCTTGTTTTCCTACTTATTCAATAAAAATAACAAACAAATTACTAAGCCACAGTTGATTAACCCACCCGGAGCCTAGTTTTAGGCGAAACCCACCCTCCATGGAACAAGCTACCTTAAGTAACACACTGCAGCCACCATAACCATTTTCCGATTGGGTGCCTTACTCCCAGATGCTACATTCTGTTTTCCCTATCTGTAGGTGGGTGATTTTGTCATTCTCCTCCGGGCTGGATTTGATCGCTGGAGTGCAGCCAAGCTACAACTCTCTACAGCCCTTGGGGGCATCCTGGGTGCTTGCTTTGCCATCTGTACTCAGTCACCAAAAGGGACAGGTAAGGTTCTTCAAACGCAGAGCAGATGGCTCAAAAGCTCCATTCCTTTCGGCTCTCAGTAGAATGTGAAATATGGGCATCCCTTGGTTCGTAACATGCTGTTCATTATCTCTTCAGGGGAAACCATCGCTTGGATTCTCCCTTTCACCTCTGGAGGATTCCTGTACATTGCTTTGGTAAATGTGGTGCCTGATCTCTTAGAAGAGAAGAATGTTTGGTAAGAGTTGCTCTAATTATTATTATTTTTTTTAATGAAGAAAAGCTTGAACAGCTTTTCAAAAGGAATCATTTGAAACCCCAAAGACTAGAAAAGCTTTTATGGCATTTTTTTTTAATGAGGAAGGGTCTATTAAATTCCTTTGCCTTCACTGCTGAGGATTGCTACACAGGTGGATCTGTTCCTGAGGAGAATTTGGAAAGAGAATTTGATAGATTCAAATCTCTCTATAAATCTCTCTTGCTCTCAGTCTCTGTAAATATGTGTGTGTGTGTGTATAAAAAGGTAAAGTTAAAGGTTCCCCTCGGACATATATGCTAGTTGTTCCCGACTCTAGGGGGCGGTGCTCATCTCCGTTTCAAATCCGAAGAGCCAGCGCATCCGAAGATGTCTCTGTGGTCATGTGGCCGGCATGACTAAATGCCAAAGGCACATGAAACACTGTTACCTTCCCACAAAAAGTCCCTATTTTTCTACTTGCATTTTTTACGTGCTTTCAAACTGCTAGGTTGGCAGAAGCTGGGACAAGTAACAGGAGCTCACCCTGTTACGCGGCACTGAACTGCCGACCTTTCGATTGACAAGCTCAGCATCTTAGCCACTGAGCCACCGCGTCCCTGTGTGTGTATACACATACATATATACATATACATATACATATACATATACATATACATATACATATACATATACATATATATATACAGAGAGAGAGAGAGAGAGAGAGAGAGAGAGAACACCAGTGTTTCTCAACCTTAGTTTTTCATCTCCGAGGAGTCCACATGTTACATCCCTGGGTGACTAGACTACAGTCACCCAGGGATGTCCATGTTCAAATAAAAACTTGAACTTCCGTTTCCCCTGTCCACGTCTGACACTACGAATGCATTCATACAGCCCATTTAACCTGGTTTACTGAGTTAAGCTATTTTCTAGCCTCCCATAAACCTTGAATCATAAACTCTTAGTTAAAATATGTTGAATCGTAAGCTCTTAGTAAAAGGCTGGGTTTAATTCAACATGGAAAGCCCTAGCCCGCCCACCCCCGAACCCCAAAACTTGGCATTTCAAAGGCATCTGTTTGGTCTTTAAGCATGTTGTATAAATACAAGCATTTAAGTACCACAATATAATCTCTTTTTTATATACTTTTATCTGTATTTCTCTATACAGTGTCTCTATAGTAATTGCCTTGAAGCTCCGGGAAAGATAAAAAAAAAATGTAAGAGGGTGAGGCTGGAATACATGTCATGCCTGTCCTTCTCTTCTCCTTCCCTTGCCTAGGAACTCCGTGCAACAAGTCCTCTGCCTTTGCGCCGGCATCGTTGTCATGGTGCTTTTCTCCTTCACTACCGAATGAGGGGCTCCGGCTTCTTTTCTGCTGTTTCACAAAGCTGCCTCCCTCTGAAGTGTTACAAAGGAGTCAGGGACACCCAGGAATCTTTCTTCCTCGTGTGCCTGCGGATCTGACTGCTGCTCAGGGATGGTGAACAAAGGAAGCGCCTTTTCTTCTTTTTCTTCTTAAACGGCACAAAGCTAGACATCCAAAAATTTTGAGAAAAGATGAGAGGTTTTTTTTTTTTTTAGAAGTGTCAGAGTCTCTTTTTTAAATAATAATAATAATTTAAAGGAAAAAAAAAACAGCAGTTGAAGGGAAGGGCCTCTTTTAGTGGGACTGATGGTGGTGTGCCTGTTGGACCAGTCTCTGTGCTGGGATCGCTTGGACAAAACTCCAGAGTGAAACAGAAAGCAAGATTGCAGCCCTGCATTGCATGCAGGCAATATATATATATATGTATGTATTTTTTTTTCTCTCCTGGGCTCAAGTACCTCACCAGCAGCAAAATACTTGGTTGTTATTTGACATATGTTGGAATCTCCCCATTTAGCTCAGTATATCTGGACTGGCAGATACTTCATTGTTTCAGCTAGAGAGCTTTTCCAGTTCTTTCCTCTCTGAAATCCTTTTAAAAATGGAGACAGGAGGGACTGAAGCGTGTTTCCTGCTACTTTGAGGTCGTCCCTTCCTATAAAAGCGTCTTTGCACTTTTTCTGAGATAGACAATCTCATTCCCTCTACCCGTATGGAATTCCAGCTTCCATTTATCCCAGCCAGTATGGCCATTAGCAAGGGACTTGGTTTGGCGATCCAAAACATCTGAAGGGGTATCCAGGTTTCCTAACCTGGTTCTAGAATTGATGATTTCTTACTTCTAAAGGTGGGTAACTGAAAATCTGACTGGATTCAGCTGAGCCTTTCTTAGGCTTCTTCAACACATTTTTATTATGAAATCAGGAATTACATTGGAAATGCCTACACGGATTATTTAATAATCCTATTTCTAGCTATCACTTTTTCTCACAACTAGAACATCAACAGTAACTGGGAACGTTGGAACTCAACTCCAAAAACCTCTCAGGCCCCACAACTAGAAGATATAACCTAAGAAGGCCAACAATATCCTTCTTCCAAATGTAGCACTCCGTGAAAAAGGTTTTAATTTATTCTGGCCGTTAGGTAGCTTAAAAGCAGCAGGATTAGTCTTGTTCTACAGCTTTTTGGCTGCAGCTTCCTTTTTGACTCATGTGGTAACTATTTAAAAGGTAAGACAAACCTACATTCTCCTACCGTGGATAAGAAAGTACTTGATAAGAAACACACATGGGCAGCATAGAGAGAAATGCAATAGTTGTAGCAGCCTTAAATATACATAGATAACAGCTCTATTTTCTTTCCTTTGTTGTTACTGTGGTGGCTCGCTGAAAGATGTTCACCTATTTTGATCAATTCCTCCATAAAGCAACACTAGATGCAGGTAATCTGTTTTATTGACTCTCATAATGAAACACCCTCTCTTTATGAATCTGTCTGTCTGAAGAGTTGGTCTCTTCCAAAGTTGCTTTCAGTTGTTCCCAGTACAGAGTGCCAAAAGGGCACCTTTCCCTACTCATCCCTTGTGTGTTTTATTCCTTTTTTATGCACCCTAGCTAATATTTTCCAAGAATACTTGTTGCCCTTTACATTCCGACCAGCATTATTAAGAGCCTCTAGTAGTGCACTCCCGGAATGAGAGAGTACATAGAAGATCATGCTATTGGAATCAGGGTTAAGTCTGGTGTAGGCTGCAAGCTGCAGCAGGAATTTTCTGCTCACTGTTTAGGAATGCAAAGTGGGTGACATTGACTCATTAATCTCTGAGCTGTTATTGTTGGCTTGCAGCCCAGGCTGCCTGGAGTGAATTTGCAGATACTGGGGAGCATTGCGTGAAGTGGCCATGCAGAGTCCAAAGGAAGAAGTTTCTACTGGATTTGGAACTGGCTCACAATGCTACAGACAAGCACGATGGTTAATATTTCTGCAATACTTATCACTTTGGGCATTATTTAATACTAGCTTTTGTGCATTCACCTTCTTCGGTTTCACATGGAGGCAATAAGAGATTAAATTTTAAAAATCTGAATGTGGCCTTTTATTCACACGTATGCTTCTGCTCTTTCATTATGCTCGTGCATATATCTCGCTTTTAAATAGGAGGAAGTTGTTGGAACGAAGAAAAAGGTCATATAATTTACCCTTCCCATATAATTTAGCCTTCTGATTATGAGAATTACTGTTCAACATATCTGGAGAAAATCCAGTTGTAGAAGTCCAATGTCTACTAAAGTATGATAGATAAGCCATTGCTTAGGGGAGAATTTGTATCACAATTCATAAAAAGCAGATGAGAAAGGAGGGAGAAACCATGCTGGATCACATCAATATTTCATCCAGTGAACTTTGAAAGACCCTATCCCCATTATCTATCTTTAGCACCTATATTCTGGCTTGTATATCCTGTGGACATACAGATTTCACTTGATCAAAACCAAATAGATCTGTCAACAGCCATCTTTCATGGATTTATTCCTGAGTCAAGACTTAACAGAAGGCAAAATCAGCTACATGAGCCCATAAAACAAAACCTGCATTTGCCTCTGATCTTCCATTTTTCCCTTGGTTAAAGCTTGTCCTGTTTCTGGTTTTGCAACAATCTGGACAAAAGTTAAGGAAGGAACCCTTTGCTGTGCTTAAATTCAAAATCCTATTTATGTCTTATATGACTTGGATCCTAGGCTCCACCAGATTGAATCTACTCATCTGTGAGTTTCACCAGGAACTGGTGGCCTCAGGAGGTTTAGGGGTCCAGAAGCAGGCCTTTGGGGTGGCTGGCCATCTCCTTTGGGATCTAATCAGTCTCCCACTGTAAGTTTTAAGAAGGTGTTGAATATTTGGCTCTTCTTTCCAGCCCTTGAGATACTTATCAAGGAGAAGACAGGGTCATTCACTTTAAAACTTATATTTTATTAAAAGAGAATTAAATATATACTTTTGATATGTTGACGTTGACACTTCAGATCCGGGTGTCAAACTCACGTCATGGTATCACTCGGGACTTTCCCCCCCTTTGCTAAACAGGGCATGGGCGTGGCCAGCGTGTGACGCATCCAGCCCAAGTTTGACAGCCCTGCTCTAGATGTTGAGATTCTGGAAAGAATGCAGAGAAGAGCAACAGATGATTAGGGGACAGGAGGCTGAAACATGTAAAGAATGGTTGTAGGAATTGATATGTCTGGTTTAATGGAAAAAAAGACTGGGGTGACATGATAGCAGTGTTCCAATATCTAGGGCACTGCAAACAAAGAAGTGGGAGTCAACCTATTCTTCAAAGCACCTGAAGGCAGGACAAGGAGCAATGGATTGAAGATTATCAAAGAGAGATCCAGCCTAGAACTAAGGATAAATTTCCTGATAGTGAGAACAATTAAATCAATGGAACAACTTGCCTTCAGAAGTTGTGGGTGCTCCAACACTGGAGGTTTTTAAGAAAGGATTGGACAATGATTTATCTGAAATGGTATAGGACAGTGATGGCGAAAAGGTTGCGCAGAAACATTGCACCCACGATCGTTGGGGCCGCGCTCCGGAAAAGCTGAAGTTCTGGGTTCTGGCGCGCATGCACACCCAACAATCAGCCGAAAACACTGGTTTTCGGCACTGCCATGCGCACAGACAGCTGATCATCACGTGTGCGTGCATGCCAGAAACCTGGAAGACAAACAGGCAAGGCCATGCTACATGGTTTCGTGTGCCACTTTGAGTATGCATGCCATAGGTTCGCCATCACAAGTATAGGATTTGCTGCCTGAGTAGGGTTTGGACTAAAAGATCTCCAAGGTCCGGTCCAAGTCCAATATTCTGTTATTTTTACTGTTTAAATCAATTTATTGTCATGTGAGCACTGTGAGAGATTTTTAAGGGAAGCAGAATAAAACTACAATAAAGATGCTTGAGCCTGGCACTGTAGTCCTGCATCTCCGGAAGGATGTCCCAAGGACCATACATTTTGTTTGGAGAGGCACCTCTAAGAAGGGATAAATCCAATGACAAAAACCTCTCTCTCCCCAGGGCACTCTACATTCAGAGGACTAGGGTTACAAAGACACGAAGAGATGATTTGGTCTAGGGATGGGTTGGTAATAGCTACAGATCTGCTGGATGAAAAACAATTGCAGCTCAACATGTAGCATAGTATCTCTGTCTGCCATTCCTTTACAGGAAGGGATGAGAGAAAAGGGGAGGGGAGGGAGGGGGAGAGAGTATGTGTTACAAGCTCCTCTACCGTTTCATTTATGACAGTCTCTGAAAGCACTTCAAAATGATAAGGTTTTATTGCAGGAGAAAATCAAGTTCGCAGGATGCCTATTGGCCTCAGTGTGCTTATGGAAACCGCCCTTAATGCTCGGCAGGCTCTCCACCTACCCGACTTTATAAATTTCAATTTTAAAGCAGCTTTTAGTTCTCGCTTTTTTTTTGGTCCCAAGTCTGCCTCTAAGTCTCATAGTCTCTTAGGGAATAAAAATGGCAGGCGACTGCTGCATTGGGCTTTATTTGGAAGTCATGGCTTCCAAACATTTTAGGAAGAGGAAAATCTTGAAGAAGTAACCATATTAATCTGAACTCTGTCAAGAGCCTGTGGAATAGCACAAAAATATTTATTCTGTTATAAAACCATTGTAGGCAAGATTAATGAAAGCAATGATCCTTTGCCTCTGAGTTCTGGTGAACAGATTAAACTGAAACCCAGGTAGACATTGAAAAAATCCTGATAAAAGAGAGCTGAAATGAAGATGGAATCCCAGCAGTCTTAAATCTGCCATATGGCTGCACTGATTGCTCCTCTTCCTTCCTCATCACCTCAACTCAGTTCAGCCAAATTTAGGTGGTCATGGTGTGGATGAATGAAGTGGCTCTTTGCATTGCTCATCTTTACTAACGGCTTTATTTTGTCCTGAGTGTTCAGGCAAAGACCAGGTCTATTGCTGTATCCAAGTTGGTATGCTCTCCATATTGACCAGTGATCTCATAAATCAGCCAAGGCCAGGTTGCCCTAGCAACAACTTTATCATTTCTCTCATTTTAAAAGCAGAGTCTCAGTTGAGCTCAATTTTGGAATCTCTTCCAATAAGAATTGATCAGTCCTTGACTTACCCCATTTGTTTAAAGTTAAAATGGCCTCAGAGCAAAAGTAATTTATACTCTGTCCTTGCACATGATTGCAATCTGGGCACTCGGCAACCTGTTTGCATTGGCAATTGGTTGCAGCATCCTCTGGTCACGTGATTGTTGTGATTTTTCCAGCCAGTTTCTGACAATAAGTATTGATTGGGTATCTAGATTCACTTAGCCACAATGTGATTAGCTTAACAACTACCTGATTTGTTTAATGAGTGATTCACGACCACACTAAAATGGTCATAAAATTGGGTCCAGTCAGGTGATGATTTGCTATATGACTGCACCTACTTACGATGGAAATTATGGTCCCAGTTGTTGTCATAAACCAAGGATTATCTACAATGACAAAACAAGCTAAACGTTTTATAGAAAGTGATGATATTTTCCAGACTCTCCATATTCTCAGTAATGTTGGAGTGTTGTAGGGAGTTGCAGTCCCTCAGCATCCATTAATTTTAATTCTTGATTTAACAGAGATGAAGCAAACAGTATCTATGGTCAGATAGTATACATAATTCCAAACTATCCAGTGGGATTAACTTTATTGGGATTTAACTCTAAAAGAAGCAAGTGGGTCTATTAATAACAACAACAATTACATGGCTGAAATAGTGGAGATAATCTTTCTACATTTAAAACTATCAAATCAGCTTGCTTTACATGAGGCTTATTTGTTTAGTTTAGTTTTTTTTAAAAAGAGATCTAGTGATTTTGATTAGAAGTTTGGAGAAATTTATGCAGTTCCCATGTATTCTTCCATGCAGGATATAAAAAGAGCACTGCTAGGTTAGATCACAAAATTGCAAAGTTCATTGGATGGAATTTAGTCCAAATCTCTCCTGATATAAAAATGGTTCTGCTTCAAAAGAAGCAGGCAATTTAAGGCCATGAGCCGTTGTTTGGTTCAGTCCCCTCCCCTGCTTTTGAGCCTCCTACAGTCCTCTCCAATTACCCTTGCCAAAAAGTTGGTGGCATCTTTACTGCTATTTTGAGATTATTTAGCAAACCTTAAAAAAAGAGACATCTTTTTTTTTTTAAATGAAACCTCTCCAATTTCCCAAGCTTTCTCCATATGTGTGGTGTGGCCCAATTCATTTTGTATAATGTGTGGCCCTTTTTCTTCAAAGAGGACTTTATTCTACCAACGTGCCACCGTACCTCTGATAGATGGCTATCTCACAAGGACAAATTGACTGCTTCCCAAAGGCTGCTATTGCTGACCAGGACACTTTTTTACCATTTGGACATTTTCTCTTTAGGGTAACTCAGATCTATTTCTCTTCGTTTTCGTCCATTGATTTTATTCCTGCCCTCTAGCTCACTGAAGATCAAATCCATTTAGCTGAATATATTGCTTCTCACTGAAGGCAACCAGATGGTTGGAAACATTGGTGCCTTCTCATTATTGCTCTCTAGAAACCAGTATTCCTGGGCATTGAGCCTCTAAATGCAGAGATTCCATGTAGCCAATATGGCTAATAACCATTGATTGATACATTTGTTGGCAAGGTCTCCAGTGTTTGTTGCAGAGAGACAACATAGTATTCACAACAATTGGTGCTATTACAAGTTTTACTGCAGTGGAATCCACCATAAACTATCCATCTCAATGAGAACAAGGGATGACTGTGATGGATTGTGCATAGCTTTTTACATACTGTTTTTTTCCCTCTTTCTTCCTGCATTCAACTACTGCCTTCCTCTGTTTATTGAACATTGTGCTAACTGAGAAAATGCAGAAGTTTCAAAATCTGCAAGCACATCCTTTGCAAAAAAAATGAAGTAGATCCTCTAGAACTTCAGAATATTTCAAGAATTGTCTCTTAAGTATTTCTGTTATGATGTTGCTATTCTATATGACAACAGTTAAACAAGCTTTTATTGTAAATGTACCCAATAGAATTC